ACTGCTGTAGCTGAACCCAGGACACCTTCAGAGAAATTAGTTTATGTTGGAGGTTGGATTCTGTGTTAGAGAGAAATGAAATAAAGTCATGATAAAAGTCAGAAATAATGCAATGGTGTCTGCCTCTTATTTTTTCCAAAAAAACATCCTATATTAGGAAAACTTATCCTTTTATACTATTTCTCTTTAGAAACAGAGGTTCCAGATGATGAGTATTATGATGAGGATGATCACAATGAAGTTGTCCAGTACCTGTTGGACGTTGTAGATGAAGAAGCCCAGAACCTCTTAAATCGTAATAATGCGACTTCAGGGGCTCAGAGTCTTCTACATCTCAAGAAGGCCACATCAGAAGATCACTTGCCAGGTAATATGAGCCATTAAAAAGGCATTTCATTGACAGCAAAATACTTCTTGAAACAAAGTGCCAAATAAATTAATTTGGCAGGAAGGAGAGTTGATGTTTAATTGATGTGTGAACTGGAAGTTTCCCAAGTAAAACACAGGCAAATGGTTGCTGATTCCAGTGAACTTCAGATGCAGTTTAATAAGGCAAGCTCTGGTTTGATAGATCTGAATTTTGCTCTGAGTAACCTAGGAAAATTAATCCCATACAGGAGTTGTCTTTTGAGTGGAGTTCATGCTGTTTTGCAGCTACAGTCATGTTGAAATGCTGAAGCGTTTCAACATTCCGTTGATTGCTGATAGCACAACTTGGAAATGTGTTGAGATCTCTCAAAACCAAAAAAAATTGCCAAAATGCTCAGTCTGTTTTAGAAAGACTATTGTTTTCAGAACCTGCTTCTGTCTGTACACCTTTCTTTTCCTTCATTCCACCTCCTCAGCTCCAGTTGTTATTAACTGAAATTTAATGTGGAGTAGGATCTGTAGTTCCTTTGTGGTCTCACACTATGTATGTATGCTCCAAAAGTTCAAGCAAGATGCTTGCTGCTCCTGTAGAGGTTCCTTGTAGAACTCAAGATATACCTTCCAGAATTAAAATTATTTCAACTCTTTTGCTGCTCTCCAAGTTCACTGGGTTATTGTTATTGGTCATTACTGTAGAAATCAGGGAACACTGAGGTTCTGTCTGTGCCAGGACCTCAGCTGGGCAATATTATTGGAGCTCCACTACTTCCAATTTCTTGTAGCTAGGATCTGGCCTTTGCAACTGAAGGTGAATTGAATCTGTAAGATACAGCAGCAGCGAATTACTGTAGCAGACAGATACAAGTCAGGTTTTATCTGGTACACCTTAATTAGGTCTTGTTAATACAAAGAGCAAGTGGAATCTTGTTTTATACCTATTCTGGTCTAACTGTTACTGAATGGAAGAAACATTATTGACGCGGGAATCTGATAACTTCTTAGCACTGTGCTGCAGCACAGATACTCTGTTAGCTATGCAAACCAGTTCACATGGAATGACATATGTTCCAGTCAGAAAAGAAAGGCGCCTAAAGTCTGATCATACAGTTGGATCTCTTTTCCAACACATTGTTAGCAAAGGGACTTAACAGATGTTTCTTGGTTATTCTGGTACCTGTATTCCCTGTGTACTGCCAGACAGGTATAACAGGATTCACATCTATGACAAGGTGACTCCTGGCTATTTTTAGATGTGTTTATGTTGTATCTCCTGATTTTCCTGTTCCAGCAGAGATGAATGGAAAGCTGGCAGAAGATAAGTCTGAAGACACAGACTGTGATGGGTCATCTTTGCCTGAAGATTTTTCAGAGGTGGGATGGCAAGAAGCTGGCAGACATTTGTCTGCTGATTTTGCTTTTTCAGAAGCTCTTTCAATGTACTGTTTCCCTTATTGGCGTAGAACTTGTGGAAATAACTTCACATGTCTTTTCATTTAAAACATCTTTGTCAGTAGTAGCCATAAATGGTGTACAAAAAACCTACTTTTTTAATTGTATAAGATTATCATTAATTATATAAGAGAACAATGCATAGAGTTATTTTATACTGGGTTTAATTTATTTTTTTTTTATAAAGGGCTAGAATAAACTCCCTTGTTAATGTTATTTTGGGCATTTAATCTAAAAGATTTGCTTGCTTCCTGCTCAGAGAAGAGAAGCAGTCACAATGAATGCTGTGTAGACTTAGGTGTCCAAAATCTAAATTGGAGATTTCTTTTCCTCCTACTTTTTGCTAGATCTGTTCATTTATTTGACTAACATCTATATGGGCTTTATCCTACATTGCATGTCCTGTTTTATTTCTGTCACTAGATGCCTGGGTTTCATCTCATATATGAGATCAGCAGAAGTCTGTCTGTCCAGCACATCCTGGCTGTTGCAGCTTTCTGTCCAGCTACTAGAGCTGAGAGTCAGATCAAGTATCTGGCTCTGTACTGCTGTGTTCTAGGAGGCCAGCAAGTAAAATTTTCTGACTATGGCAGTGGAAACTTGCAAATTGGCCTAATTAGTGTAAAATGGTTTTATAGAGTTTTTCTTGAAAGGGGAGGGTTAAAATACTGCCTTCTTTGCTGAGTCTTCATCGTCTGTTGAGGAAGGCGTATATAGAAATACCTTACACTTAGAGGTAAAGCCCTGTTCTGCTGTATATAAGAATGGTGGCTTGAGAGAAGGCAGAAGTTTTCACTATCAAACTTACCTCATAAAGGGGCTTTTACTATTAGAAGCAAAGTCAGCTGGAGGAAATGTAGATGGCTGTACTGCTGCTGTGAGTCAGGAATGATTTTAAGACAGCTTTTTGGCCTTGTTACAGTAGAGTCTCTTTCCGAGCATTCTGTGTTCTTGTCCCCTCTTATTTTGAGTTAATGACATGTCTAAAGGGGGAAAGTCTTTCATCAAGTGCTGCTTTGAACTTAGTATCCTTCAGAAAAAGTCCATGTAATTATTAATTGTTTAAAATTTACAGTGGATGAGTGTTATAACTCTGTTCTTTAATGCATTTTGAAATATTTCTACCACTAGCTAACACATGTAAATGGATGTGAAAACTACTGTGAAGTAAAAGCTATGCCAGAAAGGTAAGATTTCTTTACTAGTGTTGCTTGAAAGCAAACCTGTGAAGTCTGAATCTGAAGAGAGATATATTATTAAAAAACCAGAACACCTCAAACTAAAACAAACCCAATGAAATATCTGTGCAAAGCCTTGTTGAATTGCTCTCTGCCTAGTCTTGTTACTTAAAAGATTATAATTTGCAGGCATAATTTGTCAGCTTTATGTGATTTACTATGCCCTAGTTTTACATATTCCTTTGATATGTGGTTATAAGAAGTAACTGGGCTGTGTTCAAATGGCTCCAAATAACTTAATTTGCATTGTACTAACAATTTGGTACTTGCATGTGAAGAAAACATTCAAACAATGCTGTTTTCAGTTTGAATCTTTACAAGCTTCATTAGTGTTACTTTGTCTGGTTTTAGAGGACAGAAACTAAACTGCATAGTTCCACTGGTCCATCTGTTACCATCTGGGTATTCAGGACTTTTTTACATGGAAAGCTTTAGTCAAAGTATATATACTTCTTTTTATGTTTTGATGTTGTTTCTAGGAAGTTTTGGGTTGAGGCTTGGCACAAGCAACATCATTATGACTTAATATGTTTACCACCATCTTCAACAAAGCTAGAAAAATTGCAGTTGAAAACAGATATCCTAGTGTATAGGTAGTGGATTATGTGAATGGTACAAACCTGCTTTTGGGTGTTCTTTCACAGAATCACAGAATGGTTTGGTTTGGAAGGGACCTTAAGATCATCTAGTTCCAACCCCCCTGCCACTGGCAGAGACACCTCACACTAGACCAGGTTGCCCAGGGCCCTGTCCAACCTCGCCTTGAACACTGCCAGGAGTGGAGCATTTACCACTTCTCTGCTTAGCCTTTGAAAAGTAATTGCAGTGATAGCTATTACCAGATTCCTGTCTTCCTGTCTCTTTTTCTACTGTACCTCTTTTAAATCTCTTTAGGACTTTTTTTGTGTGTGTGTGATTACTGTTATGGATCCAGTCCAGAAATATTTGTAGCTATAAATTACTTTCTGGTGATTTTTTTTTAATTAGTTTGCAAATGTGTTGATTATTTCTAGGTGTTCTTTTTTACTTCCATACCTTGTCTTCTTATAGGTCGACTCCACAACCTCCTTTGAGTCAAGCAGATGAAGATGAAATCACGTGGGGAAGTGATGAACTGCCAATTGAATCAGTCAGCCAGGAACGTGTAAATAAAGGCAAGACCTTTAACAAATCATCAGTGGAAAACTGAGGATTGCATTAAACAGACAAAATGCCAGAAGTGAACTTTAAAATGTCCTGTTTTGAGAGTGTAATGGCACATATGATGGGAAATCTCACAGCTCAGTAACCCACTGGAAAGGATCTTTACACCTTTGCATTAATAAATATGCAAGAGTTGACAGGAGCAAGTATTGGCAACATTGTACCTGTACTTGTAGTAGAGTTGAAACCATCTGAGATGCTTTCTTCCGTAGTATCTGTCTGAGAAAAGCTGTAACTATAGATGTTTGACTGTGATCATATTGATATATCACATACTTTGCATACTCCATGCTCAAATTAGGCAATATATTTTCATTATCTTGACTCTCATTCTTCCACTGCTGCTCAGTGTGGCAGAGTGGAATGTGTTTGGCAGAATCCAGTCTTTACTTCTTGGGATGGCATTAGTAAAGTCAGTTCCTGAAATTCTTATACAGATGCCTTTTGTCTGCATTCATTAAAAGAAAAAAAGGATAATCTGTGTAAACCTGTAGACTAAGTCTAAATTTAGGACATTTTTAATTGCGATACCAGAGAGACTCTTGATTTATTAATTTTGTTGTATTTCAGAGAAACGATTAAGGCCTTATAGAAAGCAAGCTCTATTGGGAAAAAGATAGATTTAACTCATCTAACAGTTACCCCTTGAAAGACATGTTGAGTCTAAGTGCTAAAAACAAAGTCACAAGCTGTGATGTTTAAGTGAAAAGTTCTGAATTAATCTCTGTGTGCATTTATCAAGTTTGTAGGTTATTGTGTGAAGAACATGCATTTAAAATATATTTGAACTTTGTTTTAGTTTATTTATTGGAAGTTCAGGAAAATAATCCCTCTGGTTCCTGGGTTTATAAAAGCTAATTTTGCATCATGCTGATTTTGTTACTCAAGTTGGTTTTGCTTGTCCAACTGAGAAGACATCTATGTATTCTCTCTGGTGTATGGAGGCAGTCTAGAGAAAACTGGTAGTACAGTGGTGAACCGCAACAAGGAAATCCAACATTGCATTACAGTTTGTTTCCCTGCATTTAGCTATTTTTTATTTATATTTATGTCAATCAGTCCTGTGGTTCTGCTAAATTTCCCTTTAGTGACAAATGAAGAGATCTCTGCTCTCCCTACTGTGAACGTGCTCCCTGGAGGCAAGTACTCAGGAGCCAAATTGAAGTCAGTAATCAGAATGTTGCGTGGATTGCTGGAACAGGGAGTCCCTTCTAAAGAGATTGAAGTGAGTAACTACTTGTCCTTTAAAGTCCTGTTTTCTAGTATGAAACAGTTAGAAATAGAATGGTTGGCTCATCACTGGGTTAAATACTATAGCTCTTTAACTGGCAGCTTTAAAAGGATGAAAAGACTTCTTTTACCAAAGACTTCTCTCCCTTCCCCCCCACAAACTGCTGAGAGTTAAGATAAGGTTGAACCAGGAATTCAACTCAAAAGCGTGTTTACATCTTTCTTTGTTCTGGTAAATTACCAAGGGAAAATGATGTTAACAGTCAGAGACAAGGTAAATGCTGTGAAATCTACCTGCAGAATGTGAAAATAGTCTTAAGTCAACCATGTTACACAATCTTTTTTGAGAGAATGAGAAATTATTTACTGGATAATAGTTTTGTTTGTTTCATTTTCTTAGCTATGTGAAATCAGGTTCCTTCCTGTGACTGAATTATTATTAATCTCTACATGAGGATTATTTATTTTTTAATGATTCTGTCTATTAAATACTTGGTTACAGAACTACTCTTAACACTTGTTACCATTCAGCACTTTCTAATGGATGTGTAATTGCTTCTTTACAGAACCTTCAGGAGATGAAACCTTTGGATCAGTGTTTGATTGGACAAGCCAAGGAGAACAGGAAAAAGAACAGATATAAAAACATACTTCCTTGTAAGTCCTAACTAATCTGAAGTTCACTGTTGATATTTCATTACCGCCTGTCTGGTAAGGAGAAGTGCATCAGAAGTGGTATGTCCTAGTTCTGTTACTGAGAGGGGAAAAAAAAAACTTGTCTGCCACTTGTTTTCTATACATTTAAAGCAAGCAGTTGTAAAGCAGTTTAAGATGAGTGAACAGTAAGCTACTGTAGTAGGTTGGGATGGATGTTCACAGATTCTTCAGTTGTTTCAGCACATTCTATGTCTTAAATGTTGTATACATTTGGAGCCAGACAAGATTTTTTCAGTTTTACCCATATGAAATTGGAAAACCAGACATGTGTACTATTGTCAGTAAATTTCCTGCAACAAAATTCCGTTTGTTAGGTGGGAGATGTATGGAGAAACAAGAACTGACAAATGTTAGTTCTGAATGAGAAGTATTCAACCTCAGTTTCAGAGGTGCTGCGGCTTGAATTGCAAATGCTGCCTGTCTGCTGATTTAGATTTCTCCCCTAGCCGCCTTTTTCTTTATTGAAAGAGAAGTATCCTAAAGCAAGTATTGTGGTGATTTTTAATCTTTTTTTTTTTTTTTAATAAGATCTGGACACATCTGTGGAGATAAGTACTATGTGAGTGTGTAAGGCTCAGCATCTCTATTGTTTGAAGGTCTAATTATGCGCATGCATAACATGAAGGTATTTTTGTTGTGTGGGAATTGCAGATGATACCACTAGAGTACCCCTTGGGATTGAAGGTGGATACATCAATGCCAGCTTCATTCGCATGCCAGTGGGGAATGAAGAGTTCGTTTACATTGCATGTCAAGGACCTCTCCCCACCACTGTAGCAGATTTCTGGCAAATGGTTTGGGAGCAAAACTGTACTGTGATTGCCATGATGACTCAGGAGGTTGAAGGAGAAAAGATAAAATGCCAGCGTTACTGGCCAGATGTACTCAATAAAACCACCATGATAAATGATAGACTACGGCTTGCTCTTGTAAGACTCCAGCAGCTAAAGGGCTTCATCATTAGAGTGCTGGAACTAGAAGAGATTCAGGTGAGTGAGTCTGAATGCTCAGATCTTTTTTTGAGTGTTGGCATTTTTATCCACGTACTTCTGGCTTTCCTGCTTTCAACTGCAGTGTGTAATCAAGAGGTAACTTGGGGCTTCTTTTTGCCCAGTGATCATAACTAGTCAACATTTCCTCATTGCAGCTTGTGCTATTCTGTGAGCTTTATAGAAGGCAGCTGGACCAGGAGATGATTTCATTATGCTAATGCGACTCTAAATTTTGGCTCCTTAGGTGCCTTTGGCCACATAAACATTAATAGGGGTATGAAATTCAGTCATAATTCAATTTGGCTGGTTCATTCCTCTGTGTGATCATCTCAGTCTGCACAGTGAACCTTATACCATTTAATTACTTGCGAGTCATTTTCAGTTTAGCTCATTGTTTCTCTTGTTTTATTGAATTACAGAACACCTTCATTAGCCAAATACCTCTTTTCTGAGACTGTTTCCTTTGAGAACCCTTTTGGTTTTTTATTCTTCCCGTGTGCTACATTTTTTTTTTTTTTTTAAATTTTTTTTTTAAACCTCAGACAGGTGAAGTACGGCACATTTCCCACCTGAACTTCATTGCCTGGCCTGACCATGACACCCCTTCTCAACCAGATGACCTGCTTACTTTCATCTCCTACATGCGTCATGTCCACAAATCGGGACCTATCATAACTCACTGCAGTGCAGGCATTGGACGGTCGGGGACCCTTATATGTATAGATGTTGTTCTAGGGTTAATCAGCAGAGACCTTGATGTGAGTACCCAAGAGAACGGGCTAACCTATGATCTTGACTTACTGGAAAACTGTTCCATTCCATCTGTCCGATTGTTTAAAGAATATGCTGAGCTTTTTAGAGTAGCATGTCTTAATGGAACATCAATCAGGGTGCAGAAGTAACTGTGAAATGCTTTTTTGATGATCCGGGGTGGGGAGCTCTAACTTCTGCTGGTTCTTGGTTCAGGGAATCTTGTTGTTGGTCTTGTGTGACAACTCAGCAATCCAGCATTGGTAGGTGCCATTTGAGATGGTCAAGGTTATGTTGCAAGAATATCTCCTGCCATAGCAGACTCCTGGTGTATGGTTTGGGAACACAGTGTGTTGCCATAATGACTCGTGCAATTGAAGGAAAAGCTTTTAGCCTGCCTTACCTAGCAGAACTATTGCATTAAATGGTGTTAGGGCTGAGAGTTGTTAGCACTCAGTTGGTCAGAGATCAATGAACTGTTGAAGGGCACGTAGAAAGCAGAGTATCTGTTTAGGCAACTGAATCAAAAACTCGGTGTACAGACATCTCAACTGGAGATGAGGGTATGTTATTTTACTTTTCCAGCACAACCAGGGATATGCCTTTTAGGGTGATCCACAGGAGGGTGCTAGCTTCCTTATGTTTATGTTCTTCAGTGGCCTGGTGCAGCAAATCCTTGTGAATTTGTAGAAAAGATCAGCTTTGTCATGCTTAGCTCAGTGGGGTTTCTAAGCACCCACTAAATGTCTTATAACTTTATAAACCTGGGAAAATAGTGTTTTGTTAGTTTGGACTGAGGGCTCTATCTTCTGCATACTTGGCTCCCAGTAAAAGTAAGCACAGATAAAGAAAACAAGAGAGGGAAGGTATGTGATGTAGGAGAGCCACATCCATACTGCCCAGAGACAGCACATGCTGGTTATCTACCAGGCATTCATAGGCTATAGTAAATTGTTACTTGTTTCACTACTAAATGTTTAATTCACCTAGTTGGATTCCTTGGTTTGATGGTGGGAATGTTTCCTTTATATGCATGTAAGTCTTATTTTTAAAAACATTTTAACTTGTTGCTTGTTTTGGTAGTTTGACATCTCGGACCTGGTGCGCACAATGCGTCTGCAGAGACATGGAATGGTTCAGACAGAGGTGAGTCTGACTTTCCCAGCTATATGCTAAAGGAAGGATAGTGGAATTCTAACTCTGATGTGCCAGGAAACTTTCTGATGCACACAACAGTTGTCTTTGTGCCCTACAGTGCAACATTTGTGTTGTGAGAATTGTATCAGATGCATACCAGTAAGTATCAGTATGTGTTTAACAGTTATAAACATATGCAATTTTTAACATGCTCTGCTGTTTTCATGTGTTTAATTAAACAATGTCTTGAAATCTCCTTTGGGCAGATTTTCAAACAGAAGTTAAATTAATGTTTTAGGAATAATCTAGATCTAGAGCAAATTAATTTTACCTTAGACATGGACATCACAAAGTCTTGGTAAAATCTGCACTTCTTCTTTAAACATGAAGGAATTGTCAAATCATAGTTTAAAGACCAAACAACCACAAGAAAAAAATGAAACCACAAAACTATCAGCCCCATATCACATCCCAAAACATGTATTATTCCCCATGCCTGTACCACTGAGATTAAGATAAGAATTTGCATTGTCAGAGTTCTGTATTAGTTGGCATTGGTGCAAGACCTCTTGAAATTCGCCTGATGTTTTCATTTCTACTTATGTTAAGTACTTACTCTGCTTGAGGTAATCTGAGTGTGAAGGAAGGATGAATGTCCCATATAAAATATACTTTTAGTGGCAGGGGAGTGCCTGCCTTCATTTTAAGTTGAGGTTGCAGATTTCTCCACTGTGGATTTTGTTTTCTGGGTTGCTTGGGTTTTTTTTTTTATTTAACTGTAGAATTACTATTGAAATCAGGTGCTGTGCAGGTGAGAGTGAATTGCTTTGGTGGTGCAAGCATTTTTCACGTGTTCTGTGGTTTCCTTTCCCTTGCAGGATCAATACATTTTCTGCTATCAAGTTGTCCTTTATGTCCTGAATCATCTCCAACAGCAAGAACAACAGAGAGACAAATGAAATACTAAAGCAGAAGTGCTTTTAAAATAAGAAAGGAGGTCTAGAGGCTCTCACATGTTCTGCCAATAGTTTTCCAGTCCCTTTCTTCAGTTGCTGTCAAATGTCTTTTCTATAAAGTCTCTTCATCATTCCAAATAAGGTATATAGTTATAAGGAAAAGGGATAGCTCATATGGTACCACTATGTCTTCAGCCGCATGGACACGTATGTGAGATTTTTGTATAACAGTAAATAATATTTAATAAAGCTGCATTTTTTGCAGCTTCCTTAATATGTGATAAAAATGAAATAAAAATTATTTTAATTAAAAAAAAAAAGAAGAAAAAAAGAAAAAAAGTAATCTTGAAATGCTTCCTGCAGTTTTGCAACTGTTTTGGGGTATTTGTTTCTTATGGGGTGGGGGAGTGGGAGGGATGAAGCAGTATTTTTGACCTGGCAAACATTATTACACAGACATTTTAGTAGTTTCTTTTAAAAGCTTGTTTATGGCACAGATGTTTTGCCCCTTTAGTACAGTTACAGCTATTTTGTAGAAGGTATCTTGAAATTGGCATTTAAGCTTTGAGATACCTGTTAGCATGATAGTAGTGAATGTTTACTGTATCACAGTTAATAATGTTTACTTCATAGATTTTCATGTATATATTTATATACTTTTACAGAAAAAGCTGAATTATCAGGTGCCTAACCTTATAACTGATTAGGCATCTCCTTCTGTAAATAAAAAATACACCTAAAGTATACTATGAGTGGGTCTGGGTATTTTTGTGTCCTTGTGCCTGATTTTTCTTGGCCTTACAGGTCATCCTGATCCTTCATTGTGGTTGCTGCCTTTAAGAAATTTGCAACAAAAGGGCTATGCATGCTTTAAATTTTCAGTGTTCTGTTTTTCAGTTTCTTCCTGTTCTTCAGTGTCCATTTGAAAAAGAGTTGTGGGTTCCTTTCTATACAGTTTTCCATGCTGTGGTGAAAGGAAGAGGGTATTTTCCTTCCTCTTTGTTTCTCGGCATACATGGGCATTGAGACCTGTATCACATTTTTTGGGGTGTGCTTGCACCTGGATGCTTGGCAATGATCTGAGAATAGTGTAACCTACTCTGCTTAAAGCAACCAAGTTTGAGGTGGGAGGTAGGATATCAGGTTTGACGTAAGTTGGTGTTTTAGTGATGCTGTAAACAGCCAAAACTATTTTGAAAGGAAATCCTTGTTTCATGCTGTATGGGAACCTTTGATGATGAGTAGCTGCTACCAGCCAGCACAGGGTTAACAGGTGTCAGCAGTATTCCTGTCCCAGCAGTCCTTACTGGAACTGAAGCTTATGACTTGTGCTGTACTAACTTGACGACATTCTGCATTGCAGTGGTGGAAGTAAGTTCAGAGGCCTGCAATTATCCAAGGTTTTCACTGTTCAGAACAGAAGCCCAAAGTGGTGTGGTTTCCCAAACCTGAAACAGTCACCATCTTGCTTGTTTAATGGTATTCTAGCTAACAATACATACTTAAAAAAGGAAAAGAGCCTTTTTCATTTACCATAGTAATACTATGGTTTTTATTCCTTCCAGCATGCCAGCACAGTTGAAAAATTGTGCATTTTTTCAGAGCAGTATAGTCTGAGGAAAGAAAACTAATTCTGTGTAGATAGAAGCAAAGGCAAATTGACTAGCCATGTCAACAGGACGCCTGTATGAAGGAGCTTTAAAACGAAGTCAGAAGATATTCAACAGAAGTTGCCAACAGGCAAAGTAAGTAAACACAGCTGGTTGCTATGCTGCTGCTGCTACTATTATAATATTAATAGTGAGTTTAGAGGATTTGGGTATGTCTGGTTTTTAGAAACAATAAAATGGTTATGGTAACTAGACAGCGTGGTTAAAGTAGTTGAATTCTTCCTTCAGATATTTTCAGATACGTGCCAAACAATGCAGAAACAGAAACTGATTTTTTGTATAGTATGCTACATGAGGCCCACTTTGGTACAGTGCAAACAGATCATCAGTCCAAGATTCCAGGATTTGCTGCTTGTCCTCTCAAATATGACGATCTCTGGTACTTTATACTCAACTGGCTTTTAATGATGGGCACACAGAAAAGCAGAGGATAATTAACTTAACCTGATCTCCCCATCCTCTGAAAAAGGAACCCCCTCCCCTCTCCCCACCTCTCAGTCTTTTCAGTTTCTCCCATTACCCTTGGAAGGTGAGCATGTGATTAGTGAATAAATAGACCTGTCTATTCATCCGATAACGTACTGTATTGTATTGGTAATGTATTGTAATGTATTAGGTATTGTATTGGACCCCAATCCCAGAAGTCCAGTTGGAAAACCCAGCTATCCCTACTCACTTATTAACTGTTCTAACTCTTTTTAAGAAACTGGGGATCTTGTGGAGGAAAAGCATCCTTGTCTGAACAAGGATAAATGTAGCCCTTCTACATCTGCCTTCAATCTCTTTGCTCCAGCTCTTTCCATCTGATATCATCCTCCCAGTACCATCAGTATGTAGCCAAAAACAAGGTCATGCAGAATATGGAACTCCTAAACTGAAGTTTTCTTTTCTTGGCTAAATTCCTGACTTTATGTTAATAATAATACCCTGGCTTTATGTTAAAACAGATGGGCCCCAACGGGAAGCATTTAGGTTCCTAAAAAGTTATGCCGTGAAAGGTGGCACTGGCCTCTTTTGAGAATTGGTCTGAATTTCTTTGTGTTTTTGTCTCAACCTTGGGGAATGGGATATCTAATAGAGTCCTCCCTAGTCTAGTATTTGTTGAGGACACTGGGAGGGTGTCTTTTTTCTGCTGAGCAGGTGAAACTCGCCATCTGTGACACCTGAAGTGGTCAGTTTGGTTGAAACAGACCCCACAGCTCAAAACTTACTACAAGAAAATGGACATGCTTATGGAGTGTGATTGTTTAACCTTGGTTTCTATGGAGATCCTGGCTGGAAATACCCACCAATACTTATCTTTTTCTCCACAGAATGAGAAGAAAAATTACTGATAAGCTAGTTCCTTGAATAGTGTGCTTTCTTAGTATGCTGACTATACAATCTGGGGAGTGGAGGGGAAGGCAGAAGAACACCTTCTGCAGCTGGCATTCAGACCTGAATCTGAGCATCACTTTTTGTGCTTTGTTTCTGCTGAGTGGTGTCAGCCAGCCAAGTGAGCTCTGTAAGGAGCTTTGTTTCATAATGAGATGTTACGGAAGGGGTGCTTGGTTTTGATTTAATGAAGTGCTGGAAAACTGGCTAAGAGAAAGTGATCTGGTGGATAAATCATTGGGCTGGGAGCAGATTTAATTGCCAATTTCCTCAAGTGGGTCCCAGGAAATGGGTTTTGTCTTCTTTGTACTGTGATAACCTCCATAATATTTTTTCTCTCTGGTAGGGCTTTGACTGTTACTTCAGTATAATAGCCAGATTCCCAAAGTCTAATCTCTAAACGAATTAAGTTGATCACAGAAGTAGCCAGGTATTGAGTAACAAGGACTAATTGTATGGACTAATTTTGCTTCCCAGCTCTCTTCAAAGCCATACTGTCCTCAAGAACAAATACACTGGGATAATCCATAAAAGAATACATGGCTTGTCCTACAGCTGTCTCTATAGATGTATTCATGATTCCTTTGTGTCATATATCTTTATATACATATATATACATATATGCTTTTTATTTCTTTGAGGGGAAGTACATGTTCACCTGAGTTCTCCACAAATTCTAAACAAATTTTATTGTTCTTCATAGAGTTCATATGAATGCTTTGCTATGAAAAACACGGTAGCATGCCAATTTTTCAGCCTTTCCTCCCTAAAGAAGTTGCTGTATAAATCTGTTGTGTTACCTCTTGTGTCTCAAACATCAGTAATGGTTTTGGTATTGGCTTTAGGGTGACTGTCAATTCGAGTTTCACTGCTCTTTTAACCTTTCTCAGACAGCAGTGCTGCCTGTTATGCATAAACTCTATTGTTCTTTTGAAGCACTTAAACTCTAGTAGTTTCACTTTACTTTTCACATCACATGTATGTTAATTGCTGACACACCTGACAAACTGTGCATAAAAGAATCATGAGATACTCCATACTTGAATTGTCTATGCAGTAATACTGTAGATGGCAAATAGCTGTCCTGGTTTCAGCTGTAACAGTTATTTTCCTTCCTAGTAGCTGGCACAGTGCTGTGTTTTGGCTTTAGTCTGATAACAGTGCTGATAACACACCAATGTTTTGCCTGTTGCTAAGTAATGCTTACTTTGATCAAAGACTTTTCAGTCTCTCATGCTCTGCCATGCGAAGGGGCATAAGAAGACAGGAAGGAGCAGAGACAGGACACCTGAGCCAAACTAGCCAGAGGGCTATTCCATACCACAGCACGTCATGCCCAGTACATAAACTGGGGGGAGTTACCCAGAAGGGACCGATTGCTGCTAGGGTCAGGCTGAGTATCAGTCAGGGTGGTGAGCAATTGTACTGTGTCATTTGTGTTTTCTGAGGTTTCGTTTCTTCTCTTGTTGTTTCCTATTATTATCAGTAATGTCATTGTTGGTATTCTTTCTATTATCACTATATTTTACTTCTAGTTATTAAACTGTTTTTATCTCAACCCGTGGGTTTTACGTTCTTCTGATTCTCCTCCCCATCCCACCCAAGGTGGTGTAAAAGGGAGTCAGCGAGCAGCTGCATGGTACTGAGTTATTGGCTGGGTCTAAACCACAACGTATGCTTTAGGTATCATCTCTCAGGACTATGTGGCAAACTGAGAATTGGTTAAAGAAAATCTGCTGGAGTGCCTGGCACTTGAAAGTGAATTCTCTTGCCCCTCGTGGTTACAGGTACAGTGTCTGCATGAGCACTGCATGGATGACTCAGTCTGTCAGAAGTGTTGGCTTGCTGGGATCACTTCTCACAGTAGAATATCCCTGCATGTTGTATATGTGTGTTGTGATGTGAACATCTGTCATCTCAGCACCACACAGAGAACTGGCAGACTCTAAGTGCATGCTT